GTCTCTTTTAGGGCTACTAATCTCTTCGTAGGGGCTCCACCCTTTCAACCTGATTATCTCTCAAAGGCATTGCTTCCTTATAACATCTCACTGAGGTTAGGGCTTCAGCATATGAATACATATGTAACAAATGACACAAAAAGTATTTAAAACAGTTACCTGGCACATAGTAAGTCTCAGCATGTTCTGAGCACGCTTACTGTCTCAAGGTAAGAAGTCACTGGGGATCAAGCACGCAACTGGGATTTGAGCCAAAACCTGCACTTCTGGGGAGCTCCTTTCCCCACCGCCTCCGTGGACCTCACTGTGCCTTGGACCTAGGGAAGCCTACCACCATCCTCTTCTTTTTCTCAGTCCACTCGTTTCTCTCCTGATCTGACAATCATCTGGAAGTTAAGTGTACGTATGTTGTGTTCATCAAATAACACTTTGTTTTGTTACTGAAGTCTGTAGATTTAATACTTTCTTGTTCTCATTCCTAAAAACAAATTCTCTGAAATTATTCATCCATAGTGCTGTGTGTTATTTTCAGGCCCCAAATCCCTGGTATGTGGGTCTCAATCATTCATGCCTGTTCTTCTACTGCCACCCTGTGGGCATCTCAGATTATAACCAATATTTCCATAAGGCTGGAGATGCTACCTGGTTTCAAAGGACGAATGTAGTGCATTTCTGATGAAACACTGTGGAAAAGAAATACAATAGGTGATCTTTTACTCTACTGTGATGAATGTATACCTATTTGTGTTGTCTTGGAATTCTCTCCACCCAAGCAACATACACTGACTTATGCCAGCTCAGATCCAAGATCAAAGAGGAAGCACTCACCCTGCACCCAGCAATCCAGAGTCTTGTGTGAAATGGATACTTACAATTCAACTTTGCTCAAAAGTGGGGGGCCCTCCTACAAGACAGAGAGGCAGAGTCGTTCAAATCACCGGGACTCTCACACTTAAAAAGACTTTGTTTCAATAAATAAAATTAAAGTGGGGGTGGAGTGTAGCTCAGTAATAGATCAAGTGTTTAGTATGTTCAAGGCCCTGAGTTTGATCCCAAGCATCAAAAAAAATTAATCAAAATGATGGCATGTTGACAATGCTGAGAAATATCTATGAAATGCTGCTTTTACTGGTATTAACTTATTGACCTCTCCTCCCAGCCACTATGAGACACACCCTGTAGAGGAGGGAAAAAGAACAGCTAGTACTTCCCAGGTGTACACTTTGAACCCTCAACCCTTTCCTTAACTAATGTTGCTATCACCTGTAACAATACACATTCATAGGCTGCCTATGGCTGCTTTTTTAGGGAAAGACAGAAAAAACCTATAAAGGATCCAAAGAAAATAGGAGATTTGAGCTGGGTTTTGAAGAATAGAGTTATCCCAACCTGTCAAGGGGTATTCAGGATGTGAAAATAATGGAACAAAGCCAGGATTTCTTTAATAAATGGAACAAAGCCAAGATTATACAGACAATGGATAATCGAGAGAAAAAAAGAAACAGATGGCATGAATTGAACATTTGCTAAATGGCTTATTGCTCTAAAAACTTTGATTCAGTGAACACTTTCAGACATTATGAAATAGGCATCATGATTACTCGCAATTTGGAAGACTAGAGATCAGAAGGACTAAGACATTTATCTACAGTTATTCGCACAGTCAAAATAAATTCTTAGCGATTCAGGGGCTATACCTGTAATCCCAGCACTTGGCAGGCTGAGGCAGGAAGATCTGAGTTTGACGTCAGCCTAAGTACACTGCAAGTTCAAGTCCAACCTGGACTACAGATAGGGAGACCCTGTCTCAAAAAAACAATTGGAAGAGGGGCTCACTCTCATTCTTTGGGAGCTATAACTCTTCTCCTCCTGCCTTTTCACATCAAAACTCCAGGCTTTCTGGCCTTTAGACTTACACAAGGGACCCCCAGGTTCTCAGGCCTTTGGCCTCAGGCTGAGTTACACCATTGGTTCTCTGGTGTGAAGACTTTCAAACTTAGACTGAGTCACACCACCCATGCTACTATTTGTATCCACACTAAAGCACACAGAGCTGGCATTGTATTAGTCTGCTTTAAGAATCGTAATGAAATGACTGAGGTAATAAAGTTAGAAAGAGAAAAGCTTGATTTTTGGCTCACAGTTCTGAAGGTTCTAGTCCAAGATCCAATGCTTCCATCACTTTGAGCCTCCCAGGAGAGCAGCACATCATGGTGGGAGGATGATAGTGAGGTAAAATATTTACATCCCAGCCAGGAAACAGAAAACAAGTCAGAGACAACAGTCAGACAAAGCCACAGCCCCTAATCACCTACAGACTTCCCAAAGTCCCATCTCTTAGAGGTCCACAGCACCACCCGATACTGCCACCCTGGAGACCCGTCCTTTAAAACCCCCCATATTCAGACCATAGCAAGTTTTCACTGCCTTAAAAATATAATTATACTTAGTAACCCCTGACCCAATACAGTAACCTCCTCTTGTATTATTGCCAAAAATGAGAAAAAAATCTGAGAAACTAGAATGGAAGTGTTCTATAAGACAACTGATCCATGTGTGAACTCCTGGATTCAATCCCCAACACACAGTACACACACAGTACACACACACACACACACACACACACACACACACACACCAGCAGAAATGTGTAGCTGAGAATCCACTTGCCCCACCCTTTCATCCAGGTTCTAGCCCAGTCACACCAGCTGAAAACTAAATAAAAAATAATAATGAACAGTCACTGATGTAAAGACCAGAATGGAGGTCAAGAACTTACATAGCCTAGAAGACACTAAAATGAGCTAATATGCCTAGCACACATAAGGTGCTAGGTTTGAGAGGGGTGGGGAGAAGTCACATAAAATGCAGTGCAAATGAATCTTAATATGAGATTAGTTTTATTTTTAAGCACATTAAAGAAATCTGAGGAGCAAGCAGGGAAAATTGAATATTATATTTTGGGTATCACTGAATTATTAATGGTGTGATAATGATGTTATGAGAGGTAGTGATCTTATTCTTAAGAGAGGCATGGAGTATTTAGGGATAAAGTCAAGATGTCTACAACTTACTTTCAAGTGGTTCCTCAAAAGCACAACTGCAGCAAAAAAAAAAAAAAAAAAAAAAAAAAAAAACCATCACTGAATCTAAGCAAAGGGTATGCCTTAGTGAATTGCAATTATTTACTGTTCCTGTGGGTTTTTAAGTTTTCAAGATAAAAAGATTTTTCTTTTTTTAAGAAATATTTTAATAAAATACAAGACTTGGAAAGATTGTCAGGGTCATCTAAGTCAGACCCCCCTCTCATACACGGGGAAACTGAGGCGCAGGAATAAAGAACTTATCAGAAGGCACACAGCTGGTTTCCAAGGGAAGCTAGAAGGTGTGAACTGTTCACTGTTCTCCTACTGCTGTCACCCATGGGGGATGCCGCAAGCAGTCCGGAGTGGGAAGGAGCTAGACAGAGAAGACTTTGGGAGGAAGAACCCTAAAGTTAAGGTGGGAAGATGATGCCTCTCAGTAGTGCTATGTGGTATGTAAGGGCAGAAGATTCTGACCATGGACAGCATGTCCAACAGCTCAAGGCTCCACCCAGCTTACCTCCTTTTCCTTCTCTTAATTCCTCTTCCTTATTTTCATTCTCTAACCTCATCTACTACTTCTTTTTGAAAATTTTTTTTCTATTTTACTGTCACTTGATTGAATTACTGCACCAAAAACCCGACTTCATGGAAATACTGTGAAGTTTTGAAACCACACAGCATAATTTTAAATCCTGACCCGCATCCTAGCTGTACAACTTGAAATGCCCCCTAACCCCACAGTTTTGGTTCCCAAATCTTTGAAAAGTTACCACTCCCTACTTTGAAAATATATGCCGGTGAGTCAATTAAACATTTTAAATGTTTAATGATCTTTTACCAAAAACTAGAAAGAGTTGTGAGCACTATACTTCATGCTGAACACAAAAAGGGGAAAAAGTCCAGCACTTCATGGAACTATCTTTTCAGAGGAAAGTGAAATGTGGAAAACTATGGGGCAGTTTGTGAAGACAAGTTTTATTAATTTCTATTCCTTTACTTCATAGCTTAAAAAGGCAAATCACACAAAGATGAAGAATCCATCTGGGCACTATTCCTGTTCAATTCTTCCCCTCATCAACATTTTTTAAAGTTAATGTTCCCTTGTTAACCCCTAAAGGAGACCCACAACAAGGAGCACTTGGTTTTGGTTTTGGGTTTTTTGTATGGTTCTGGGGATCAGACATAGGGTCTCGCACATGCTAGGCAAGTGCTCTCCCACCAAGACCCAGCCCTTGCCCAACGAGCACTTGTTTTGTGACAGATGTGGTCACAATTCCCTGGTCTCTTCTCCCAACTTAGGCCTCTTAACCATCTGGCCACATCAGCATCCCTGACCCAGTACGTCAATGCAGCCAGAGAATCTGCATCTCCAGCAAGTTCCCTGGTGACACTGATGCACCAGGACATTGCCCATGAGAACCACTGGCAGGGTAACTCCACCCACAGGTTAGCTTTGCTCCTATTCTGAATATGAAGCTGACCGTTAGGAAGGCGCATGCCTCTCCAAAAGCTATAGCACTAGCAACTAACAGAAGCAGGACTGCACCAGGCTGTTTGGACTCCAATGCCTGGACCATTTCCTCAACATCTGAGTTAGATGTATTCTAGGATATCCCCACCATATGTCTGTTCTTTTTATTTTCAAATTTCTGTCCCTTAAAAGGACAGTGAAGGCTGCATGTATTTTCATCTCTAAGAACAGAAGATGGTTCGTAAAAACTGTTTTAAAAGTTCCTGTCCATTTGTCCAGTGATCCCTCTTCTAGACAACTCTACCATGAAAACAACTCAGAACATGGCCCAAAAAAAACGAAGATATTAAGTGCTTCAGCAGAACACTAAATCTAAATATCCACTACAAAGGACTGGTTAAATAAATTATGGTGTATCCAAATGATGGAACATCATGATGCCATTAAAAATTATGTATTCAGAATTTTAATAACATATCAAAGTATTTACCACATACAGCTATACTTTGGTACTCCTGGGCTTCAAACCCAGTACTGTCACATTGTTTTGTTGTTGTTTTGAGACAGTCTCACTATATAGTCCTGGCTGGCCTCAAACTCATCACAATCCTCCTGCCTCAGCCTCCTGAGACCTGAGATTACAGGTGTGTACCACCACACTTGGTTCCTCTGTTACATTTTAACAAGAAAAATTGCTTCAGTCCTCCACACTTGCATCAGTCTCACAGTAACTCTTGAACAGTGCAGAAAACACTACAAACTTATCATTACTGTCTTGCACCTCTGCATTTTAAGTGCTACCAATGGGCCCCAAAAAAGTTAAAAACGACACCAGTAAGCGTAAAAAGCTTGTATTAGCCTCACAAAATATGAAAGTCCAGGGCTGGGAATTTAGCTTAGTGGCATAAGCACCTGCCTGGCAAGCACAAGGTCATGAGTTCAAGCCCCGGCACACACACACAAAAAAAAAAAATCATGAAAGTCTTGGGAACTCATGAATTATTTCTAATTACACTGTTTTTTATGGGAAAAATTCATTTCGGAACTCATCAGTGTCAGTACTCATCACAAGTCCCTGAACAAATCTGGTAAGTACTGAGGTAATGACTGTAATATCCAATAAGGCAGAGCACAGAACTAAATTTGCTAAGCTCTCAAACTATTAAAAATACTAAAAAATTACAATGTTGATCAGAGTATTCTCTGCTTCTAATAATGCCCTTCTATACTTCCCATTTTCTATGAGCTTCCTTAGAAGAACCATGTACTTTCTTCTTACTGGTTAAATATATCACATCATTTCAAGACTCTTATACAGTTATTTAATTCCTGGACAGCTAAGAAAACCAAACTATGAATTTTAAAACTAAAATTTAATTCCAGACTGTATTTTCCCTGATCCTAGGATGTACACTGCAAGTAAGAAACTAAAGGAAAAAACCTGAATGACAAGTATTATTATAAATACAAAAAAAAACTACAAAACAGCGACTTGTTTTGATTAGTGAAATGGCTTTTTAAATCTCTTTAACAATTTTTATTACATGCTCTACGATGAATGGCTATTACTTTTGTAATAAAATGTTTGCTGTCTTTCTAAAAGATAATCATCAAGCAAATTACAGTATATCTAATGGAATATACAGTATAGTTAATGGAATCTCAACTGCTGTTTAAAAGTTATGAAAGAAAACAGTAATATGAAGAAAATTGTTGGCTGATCGTACTATAAAACAGTATGCTCAGAATGATCCCAATGGTTTGCTTAAAAACAAACAAAATGTCTGTGCATACGCAAAAAACACCTTGGTTGGAAACATATCAAAACATTAATAGTGTTTTACCCTAAGTGATAGGATTAAAGATTATTCTAATTTTCTATTTTGGCTTCAACGTTTTGATCAGTTTTGCTCTACTAAATATGATTTCTTTTTGCAGTATGCCAAAAAAATGCTTTAAAAATAAATCTAGATCGAACACTAAGTTACCTTGTTAAATAACACAGAGACAGAGACTGGAAACAGCACCTTATTAAAAGATCCTCCTTTTTTTTTTTTTACGTTTTTTTTTTTTTTTTTTTTTTTGGTCTTTTTTTCCTTTTTATTGGTACTGGGGATTGAACTCACGTCTGCCTGCTTGCAAGGCAGGCGCTTACGCCACTGAGCTAAACTCCCAGCCCCCAAAAGATCCTCCTTTAACAAGCTTTTCAACTGCAGCCCAGACCCAGTGTTTGGGTCAATAAAACACTGGCCACGCAGAGTAACATAACAGCAGCCGGCATAAACTCTTCCTCTCATTCCAGGCTTCACACTGCTAGAGAAGCCACTAACCCCAGCAGCAGAGCTCACCCTCCTGATAGGGCAGGCACATCTCTGGAACTTTTTCTTTTGGCAATACCAGGGACCAAATGCAGTGTCACACATACTAGGCCAGCACTCTATCACTGAACTACAATCCTGGCTCCATCTGGAACTTTCAAAGAAGATCCTGGGGGTAGAAGCGGGTCTGAAGAAAACATTTAACTGCGTTATAGAGCTATGACTCTGATTATAAGTAGATATAAATTATAATCATTTGATTAGGGAAATGCATGATTTCCACTGCAAATAACCCAGGGAAAAGAAGATTCTATTCTCAGACCTGGCAGAGACCTCTGAGATCACCAGAAGACAATTTCCAGGACAATGTTTTAAGGATGCCATGTAAATACTGACTGGAAACAATAACAGAGATGTCATGCTAGAGAATCTTAAGTAAACAGTTCAAAAGCCTGTCTTCCTGTTTATATAATTTTGGGTTACTTTATTGCTAGCCAAAAGGTGATTCAGTATTCTGATTTAATCTAAGAATGTCTTTACTTTCCAGATAATAAAGAGACTACAAAAAAAGCTGAAAAGCCAGAGACACAAGAAGGAACAAAAATAAACATAGACATGTGTCTTCCAGACCAAACAGTGAGAAAGCTGTTCGACAAGACCATCAGTTCAATCTATTTCCAGATCGCTGTCCTCACTGTGACAGGTGGCAGAGTTACGCACAGACGTCAGCACCAAGACTTCCTTTTCTGGGAGTAATCCAAATTCCTGCAGAAAAGCTTCAAGGTCCACAGCAAAGAAATCTTCCCCCAGCTGGTCAGTGACACGAACAAAATTGCCAACCAATTCACCTCCCTTGTAGATGAGCAGAGCAGGAAGAGCATTCCGTGTAAACCGACTGCTGGCCCCGATAACCGAGCTCTTTACCCTACAGAATTTGACAGCCGGGTACTCTGCAGCAAGGCAGATCATGCAGCCATGCATGGCTTCGGTTCCTGGAATGCCATCCTCATAAATATGGACCATGATGAGGGTGCTCTTCTGCTCTTTATCAATCATGTCCAAAAACCCTTCTCCACTAGGGATTTCAAAAACTTGCTTGAATTGAGGTCCCTTGTGTAACTGCTGCCGCATCTCTTCCATCCTCTGCTTCCGGTACTGCTGCAGAAACTCCTCATCATCCTGGTCCTCATTCATCATGGTAAAGTCCTTTAGAGTCATCTGCAAGAGGATCAGCATGGAAGGATAAAGAAACAGTGAACATTCATGACAGAGGCAATACGCACCTCGTGCCTATAATACATTAGGCATACGCTAAATTCTTTATGCATACTCTTTTTCTTTTTTTTAAGAGATGAGGTCAGAGAAGGGGAATCTAGTTCGGTGGCAAAGCATTTACCTAGTTCAAACAAGGGCCAGGATTCAATCCCTGGTACTGGACCAAGTAAATAAATAAATAAATAAATAAATAAGAGAGAAAGTGAAAGAGCTAGTTTCACTGTATTGCCCAGAATGCCCCATGAACTCAAGTAATTCTCCTGCCTTGGTCTTCAGGGAGATAGAGCTATGAGCATGCTCGACCATTCCTGATTCTCTGGAATCTTATGATAACCCCATCAGAAAATGAGTTTAATAACCCCTATTTCATAAATGAGGTTCTAAGACTTTACATTATTTGCACAAGTTCACACAGGTAGTAAATGTAAGACCAGACTCCAAGTAGATTTTTAAAATCCAGGCTTTTTTATTTATATATTTTAATGAATTATAATTAACTGAATATTAATTATAATTAAATGAACACTGATGCAATCTCTATTAAGGTTAATACAAAATATTGCCTGTACTTTAGAAGTTGCCTGTGCCCCTTTACAATCAAGTATTTCTCTCTCTTCAAAGCAAAACAAGACCTTGGTTCTGTCTGACAATCTGGTTTCTACTCATACTTGCACCATCTATTTTCCCCTAAACAGTCTTTTGTTTAGTTTTGACTAACGTGAACTTTATATGAAAGACATCACAGTTACTGCATTTTTCTGACTTTCATTATTCAGTATCATTGATGGGATTCATTCACATTGCTGTTTAACTACAGTTTGTTCATTTTCATTGATGCATACAGTATTTACTGCATGAATAAGAATTCATCTTTTGGAAAGTTGATGGGTATCTGTGATTTTTTCCAGTTTTTTTGATATTATGATACTATTTTATGTATTTTTACATACAATTCCTGGTTTAAATTTATAGCTTTTCCTATGATGTGTAATGAGGAAAAGGATGGTTGAACATAGGTTTTGCACATGTTCACTGTATGAGGTAAAAAGAAAACTGTATTCCAAAGTGAGGAAAAAAAACAACTTTTAACTGCAAAACTGTATTATCTTCAACCCAAATAGGTATCATTAGATATCACTTCTTTGAACTATTCCTTTTTGCCTTGACAGTGTATTATTTTATTCACTGTTTTGTTGTTGTTGAAAAGACAAGAAGCCAGGCCTGGTGGCACAAGCCAATAATCCCAGCACTCTGGAGGCTGAAGCAGGTGCAGATTGGATAATGCAAAAGCCTTAGTGAGATCATGCCTCAAGATTAAAGAAAAAGAATATGACATATGTCACCCCACTGACTGCCAGGGTTGACTCAGCCAATCTGGCTGCAAGTATCCCGTTCCTCCCTCACTGCCCCCTATGAGTCCCTCCCAAAGCTGCAGGCTCAGTCAAAAAAAGACAATCACTCCTGAAAGAGGAGAACCAGTTCCTTGGTCAAGGGTGCAGGAATAGCTTCCCTCCCTGCCAGAACCTCCAAACAAGCGCTCAAGATTAAAAAAGGGGAAGGGGGAGGATAGCTCAGTGGAAAGGCCCAGGGTTTAATGCCTAGTATCTAAAAACAAAGAAAAAAAAGACAACAGGATATTAAAGAACATCAAAAAGAACACTCAAAATCCCATCAAAAAGAACACTCTGCATACAGTGCATTCATGGGTCTTCTACATGCTAAAAACTGATTTTTTTTTTTATTACCTGTTACACACTGGTAGTTGTACTTTCATAGCAGCAGTTATAAGTGTACCAATGAAGCTACATTTTGCTTTTTAGTTAATACTAATAATAATGTATAGGTATTTATTATTTCAAGTAGTTTCATAAAATTATAAATGTTATATTTTGCTTAATCATTCCCCCATACTCTATTCTGGTCTCTGCCTCAGTATAAGCAAAAATGCTGTAAGTAAACTGCCCATAACTGACAAAGTTTTCCTTCTCCTGCCTGGTACACAAAGGTATCCCTGCTCCTATAATAAACCCTCACTCCACCTAATCTTGTACACATTAGAGGGTGGTAAGCTGGTGATCACACTAGATTTGAACAGATGTTGTTACTGTCATAACCATTCCGCGTTCGGTTCTACTTATTAACAGTCTTATTCCCCTTGCACAGTTGTCTTTATCTTAGTCTAGCAGATGTCTTTTTCTAACCTGTTACCTGTTACCTGTTATTTTGCTTTGGTTTCTGTGTTTTGATTTGTTTTGTTTTGTTTTTGCTTTTTTTAATATAGGGTCTTACTATGTAGTCCAGGCTGGCTTGAACTCACCATATAGCCCAGGCTGGCCTCGAATTCACAGTGATCCTCCTGCCTTGGTCTACCAAATGCTGGGACCACAGGCATACGACACCATATCCAGCTTCCTGCTTTAGTTTCATATGCTAAAATCATTCCCCTACTAAAGATGAATGACTCCTGGCTTACTGGTCTTATCCACTCCCTGATCTTGACTGGTATTCTAGCTTTAGGCCATACCTAACCAATCTATAGCATTTCTAGACGTTCTTCCATGTCCAGAAGGCCAGAAGAGTGCTTTTAATTCTCAGAAAGTAGGGGAAAGTCAGGGAACTGGTTCCAAATATCTTCCAGAGTGTTTGAAATAAAACCTCATGAACAGACTTCAGATGAAAGAACATCATAAAACGTACATAAGAAATGTGAGTTAGAATCTTGGTGCCTACACCATTGACTTGAATTACTCTGAATAACTTTTTCTAAACACTGCTTTCATCCTCTGTAGAATAGGATAACCCTAACCATCCTCAGAGGGCTATTTCTAGAATAAAACAGGCATCAAATAAAAGACAAAAAGCTAACATTCACTGAGCAATTTCTCGGGGCCAGTCAGTACGACAGGCATTTGATTCACATAGCCCTAAGGTTGCAACACAGTGACCTCTAGTAAATGAAAGAACAGACTCAGGAAGAGATTTTCCCAGTCACTAGTGGCAGAGCTGAGATTCTAACCTGGATGTGTCTGATTTATGAAACGGCTCTCTGCTTTCTTGTACATTGCAGTTTACTGGAAGCCAAATCCAACAACCTGTACCTCTTGAATCACCAAGTCCAGTTCTAGCAGCCAGAGTGACTTCTGAGAAAAGCCTGACTGCTACTAATTACCTTCCCACTAATCTTCTCCTGGAGGTCCTTTTGTTTCTGTTGCTCCTCCTCTTCATCCAGATGAGACCTGCAGGTCATAGACAACTTCTTGATCAGTCTTTCCATCTCCCGGCACTGCTCTTCCCTCTGTTCTGTCTCCAACTGCTTGAAGCGGCGCCAGTCATTTATCACACCTTTTGGACCTATGTGGGGTGATCATGCATGTGACCAAGAATCAGCAAAGAATTACGAACCACTTCATGTAAAGGTAGGAGCTCTTATGTGTCTAAAGCTTGCTCTACCTGTGCAACAGTTAACAGAGTCCTCTGCCAATCCTGTGCCACTAGGCAGAGTAGTCTATACATGGTAAGGTGCACTACAGCACATTCTGCAATAAGTAAAGGGTTAACCTAGTGTCCAATATTAGAAAATGAGTTACTTATGATTCACCAATCAAAGAGAAATACAGTAAAACTTAGAAAGAATGAGGCAGTTCTCTGTTTCCTACCCTGAAAGATATTGCAAATATATTAGGGGTCTTAGAGAAATTTTTACGCCCATAGCTTGTACTCAGAGTAACTACTTTCAAGATAATAATATGCAATGTATCAACTATTATTGTTCTATCACCTTGTTACGAAATTTTTCTTTTTTTCCATTAAAAAAAAGACAAAGTGGGCACAATGGCACATACATATAGTCCCCGCCACTTGGAAAGCTGAGGCAGGAGGACTACTTAAGCTCCGAAGTTTAAGGCCAGCTTGGACAACATAAAGAGACCCCATCTCTTTAAAAAAAAGAGAGAGAGAGGAAAGAGGGGGAGAGAGAGAGAGAGAGAGAGAGACTATTTGGTATCCATTAGGCTGGAAAAAAATCAGAATGTCTAAATAACACAGTAGGAAGTAAAGTGTATATTGAAATATTACACTGCTGATTAAATATAAATCAGTGCAACCTCCACTGATAGGATAGACAATATTAAAATATGTAAGTGGGGCAGGAGATGTAGCTCAGTGATACAGTGTTTACCTAACAGGGGCAGACCCTGGATTCAATCCCTAGCTCCACAAAAAAAAAAGCAAAATGTGCCATTTCTAGAAATTCATACTACCAATATACTCATACTACTGTTTGTGAGATATCAAATAACTATTAAATTTGAGATGCAGGATTCAAACCCAGGCCCATCTGTTCACTGCCATGCTGTCGTGCATATTTATCTGCTTTGTATAATAAAAAAGAAGCATATACAAATGACAACCCCAGGTTATCTCAGAAAGTGGGGGTAAAGTTAGAGAAATCAGAAACTTTTTTTTTTTTTTTTTTTGTCTTTTTTGAGACGGGGTCTCGCTATGCAGTTCAGGCTGGCCTTGAGCTCACTTTGTAGCCCAGGCTGGTCTGAAACTCCTCCCAAGTGCTGGAATTACAGGTGTGAGCCACCACGCTTGGCTAGGAAACTTCTAATTGAAACACACTTAATACACATTTTTAAAGCCTACTCCCAAAAACTCAGAGCTTTCCAGTACCTGTATTAATTGAGATGCCTTCGCCTGCCAGCTCAGCCTCTGCAGGTATGGAACTGCTGGCTGGAGCACTTCTGCCTCTGTCTTTGTCTTCATGATCACTGTCCTCATCCTCACTGCTACTGTAGTAGTACTGGAGTTTCTCCCCCAGCAACTTGTCATCCAAGGTTGTCATGATACCTGGGGGATGGCAACACATGAGGCTTTTTGCTGATTTGAGCAAGGAATTGAGATAGGAATCTAAAACACACAGGTCACATGTGTTGCCATTCCTACAACAGGAACCCAAAAGTGATTTTTGTAAGAATTTCAACAAATCCCTACCATGAAAGTTTATCATGTTCTTTACATAGAAAGTAAAACCAGAGGTCAGATAAAGGAAGTTTCTTTGCCAAGTCTTCCAGCAAATGGTGGACCTGGTAACAGACCTCAGATAGGAGCCTGATGGGTGAGTTACTGTCTTCTGAATTAATGCACATTGTACTAGCACATTGGTTTGAAGGAGTCTGTTTCACTGATTGGGAATTTTATCTATGTTTATAATTAGTTTTCCTACTAAAATTACAAGGTAATTGAAAAATTGGGTAAGAATTCACTGGAAAATCTTGAAAAGGGACATGGTGAGTTTGATGCTGGATCTGAGGGGTATAGCTCAGTGGCAGAGCACTCGCATGGCTAATGTTTAACCTATGACAAAGGTTTGAGCCCTAGTGCCACCACAAAAAAAAAAAAAAAAAAAAAAAAAAGGATACCTAAGCCTATGTCAATCAATCCCATTTGTTTCACAGAGGACTTGGATAGTCTTTGAAACACTATCAATTCCGACTGGTTAAAACAAGGACAAACAAAATGTTTAATGAGAAACTCTAGTTAGCATCACTTTCTATACCAGAAACAAAATCATTCCGGGGACAAAGCACAGTTTGGCCCCTTATAGGTTCAAGGATCCAGCAGGGATTGCAAGCAAAAAAAATTGAAGAAAAATCCTCTAATACCTTCTCTACTATGCCTTACAACACTGTAATTCCTTCATGAAAGACTTATCACAGGGCCTATTATATGTCCCACCCAGCAGGAGCTCTTAAAAACAGGGACCTCCAATCAATCCCCTGCACAACGCCTCCACATCATCAGCTAAATCCAGATAGCGGCTGCCTGGATCAATAGGCTAAGCCGGTGATCCCCACCACCACAACCACCACCACCACCCCAGCCTGGCCCGCATCAAGAAAGGATACCTAAGCCTATGTCAATCAATCCCATTTGTTTCACAGAGGACTTGGATAGTCTTTGAAACACTATCAATTCCGACTGGTTAAAACAAGGACAAACAAAATGTTTAATGAGAGACCCTAGTTAACATCACTTTCTAACTAATGCGCGATGTAAAGGAGGCAAAACTAATGGGAAGAAAGGTGTAGGAGTCAGGGCAAGGCAGAACCAAATTTTTGCAACACGGAGGTGAAAGGGATGAGAGAAGGAGAGAAAGGAGTCAGACAGAGACCTGGGTGAGGCGCGCTCAGGGGCCCGGGGAGGCGCGCGCAGCAGCAGGAGGAACCAAGGGGGAGCGCCGGAGGGCGGGGCCGACAAAGGGGTGCGCGGGAGGCGGGGCCGGGCGAGGGCAGCTTGCAGAGGCGGCGCCCCCGGAAGGGCTGCGGAGGGGCGCTCATTCTTAGGAGGATCGGGGGAAGCACTAGACGTGTAGGGGCCAGCAAGGGAGAGTGGGAGAAAGTCGCGAAACCGTCAGGGTAAAAAAGGCCCGAAGATAAGCAGTTTTACCCAGGCTCACCAACCACCCTTCACCGGTACGCCGTGCCCGCCGCGTCTTACTGGCTAATTCCAAAGCAGTTACTCGGCCTAGCTGGATCCCTATGGACTAGCAGCGCGGGGCACTGGAAGGAAGGGACCGCTCAATTACAGGAAGACAAGTGAGGCGGCGCCCTGAACGCTGAAGAGAAAAACTACCGGATTCCCGATTGCGCGGACCAATGAGGTGGCGCCCTGCGTCATGGCGGATGCACGCTGCCCAATCAGAAGAAACTTTTTGAGGAGGAGATGCTACGGGTCCTATTTTGGAACAAAATACTTCAACAACGTGTCTGTTTTGTTAGCCTAGCAATCAACATTTAACTACAGTAGTCCCAACTTTAAACAGTAAGTTTCATTTACTTCCTTCCAAGTTTCTAAAAACATTCAAAATAAGTACATCCCCATCCCCAGCACTCTTTTTTCTTTTTTCTTTCTTTCCTTCTTTCTTTTTTTTTTTTTTTTGGTGAGACGTCTTGCTCTGTAATTCAGGCTGGCCCAAACTCACAGTGTTATCCCAAACTGGCCTCGAACTTGCGACAGTCATCCTGCCTCAACCTCCCGAATGCTGGGTTTACAAGTGTGTGCCACCATGCGTGGTAACATTATTTAATAAAGCTATTGTTAATGGTATTGTTTTCCTAGTTTCTTTCGTGGCGAGTTCATTATTGGTGTACACGAATGTAATTGGTTTTTGTTTTGTTTTGTTAGTTTTTTGAGACAGTATTCCTATGTAGTTCAGGCTGGCCTTGAACTCACTAGGTAGCACAGCCTGGCCTGGAACTCACAGTGATCTTTCTACCTCAGCTTCCAGAGTCGTGGGATTACAGAAATTTGCCACCACACTAGACTGTAATTGATTTTTATGTGTTGATTTTGTATTCTGCTGCTTTGTTGAATTTATCAGTTCTACAAGTCTGCTGGTGAAATATTTTGGGTCTTCAACGTAGAAGATCATGTCATCTACAAATAATGATAATTTGACTTCTTTTCCTATGCATATCTCTTTTATTTCTTTCTCTTGCCTGATTGCTCTGGTTAATGTTTTGAAAACTGTACTGAACAGAGATGGTGCTGATGCGGAATTCAGGACCAGACCAAATGGAGACATAGCACCAGAGGGACTTTAGAAAGCAACTTTATCACACTAGCGGGCTGACAGAAACCTCATTTCCAAGTCATCAGCAGTAATTGAAGTTTTTCAATCATCTATATATGTTTCCAAAAGGAAGTACAAAAAGCAGATAACATAACAGCCTATGGTTGGATACACATGTCTTTGTCATTGGTTGCTAGGCAGAATTTACTCTTACAGAAATAGCAACTAAATGAGGTTATTATCCTACAACATAGAGGAAGCATCCATCATTGTTGGGAGATTGAGCAGAGATGTCGTTACAGTGATAACTCTCTGGGTCTCAAAAGCAACAGAAACATTTCTTTCTGGCTGAGCTACACTTATCTTACAGTTGGCATCTGGAGTGTCAAAATACAGGTTTGTAGTTTCTAACATGAAAACAGGCTGTGTCTCCTGCTCTCATCTTTGAACAGTATTAGAAATATGCATAGTATTAGAAATAATAACTTTTAAATTTTTCTCTGGATTATAATAGCTTCTATAGGGCTAGTAGACATCCATGTTTTTCAGGATTTCAGAAAGGTTTCAGTTTTTCTCTGATTTTTTTTTATGTGAACAGTAGGCTTGTCAAAAGGCCTTTACCACTTATATTCTTCAGGATTAGGGGTTTTTCTTTTTCATCATAGATGTTGAATTTTGTTAAAGGTTTTTTCTGCATCTATTGAGATCATAAGATACTGGCCTTGCTTCTTTAATATAACATATTACATTTATTGTTTTGCATATGTTGGACCATCCTTGCATCCCTAGGATGAAGCCTATTTGGTCATGATGCATGATCTTTTTGATGATTGGATGCATTATTTGCTAGTGTCTTGTTGAGAATTTTTGCATCTATGTTTGTTAAAGAGATTGACTTGTACTTTTCTTTTTATATTCAGTCCTTGTCTGGTTTTAGAATCAGGAGATTGTAACGGTATGAGTTTGGAAGTACTCAAATATTGACAGTAGCTATTCCATGAAGTCCTTGTAGAATTCTGCAGTGAAGCCATCAGCTCCTGGACTTTTCTTAGTTGATACGCTTTTCATTACTACCTCAATGTCATTGCCTGTGACTGAACTATTCAGGGGATTATATCTTCTTAGTTCACTTTTGGTAATTCACATGTGTCTAGGAATCTGTTCATTTCTTTTAGATTCTCCTGTTTCTTGGAGTACAAGTTGTTAAAGTGCTTACTGATAATCTTTTGGATTTCAGTGGTTTCTGCTGTGATTCTACCTTTATTATTTGTAATTGCATTTACTGTATATGGATGGATCTTTTGTTTGCCTGGTGATTGTGTCTCCTGAGGACTTTGGGCAACTTGTTGCTCTCTGATGATTTGATGAGTATAATTTTAGTCCTCAAGAAAATTCCACACCCTTGTGCTTGGATCTATGAATGTGACTGAAACTGATGGATGTGCTCCTAGTACAGTCAAACTTGCCTGTGAATGGTCAAATCATTTTAGCACTCCCATGTTTGTCTTTTGCTGTTTTTGTTTTGCCTTGCACCCCTGTGCCTTACTCGCAAATAACTAATCAGTCAGCCTTGCCTGAAAGAAAAATAAAGGAAAAATATCAAAGAACAGTACCACCCATAGGACCTCGTAATCAATAATCTTCCATTAGGTTTATAGGATCAAGGAATGTATGAAATGCTTGGTAACCTGAAAACAGCATTGAAACCACATCAAGAGAATGATTACCACAAAAATGAATGATCATTCTGGTGTTTACTTTGTAACAGCTACGATTAGACTCCTCAGAAACCCCACATAAGCTTTGTGCCTGTGAGCCTAGCAACACACTTGGGATAAAATTTTTCATATCCCAACTTGCCAGCTTATTGCAAATAAAACTCTTTCTTATCCTTATGCTTTCGTGAGTCATTGGCTTCATTGGGCAGCAGTGGAACAGGACATTTTATGGTTACATAAGCTAACCTACCATTAAATATGTTCTCTTACATGGCAAAGTTATTTTGCACACACAAAGTTGCTAATCAGATGATTTTAATATAGGGAAATTACCTAGATTATCAGAATAGGCTAATCAGATAAAATTTTGAAAGCAGAAAGCTTTTTTTTTCTGGTTAGTGATAGAAATCAGAAACATTGGGGGCTGGGGATTTAGCTCAGTGGTATAAGTACCTGCCTTGCAAGCAGGCAGTCGTGAGTTCGATCCCTGGTACCGATAAAAAGGAAAAAGACAAAAAAAAAAAAAAAAAGAAAAAGAAATCAGAAAGATTTGAAGCATGCCAGGGATTCAGCATAACTACCAGTTGCCAATTTGAATATGAAAGTGAGCCATGTGAAAAGGAATGTGGATGGCAACTATAAACAGCATCAAATATGACAGCTACCAAGATTAGGATTTCAGATTTATGAAAGGAACTGAATTCTGGCAAAAACCAGAATAAAGCTTAGTGTGGTGGTGCACACTTGTAATCCCAGATCTTAGGAGGCTGAGGCAGGAGGAGCATTATGAGTTCAAGGTCAGCCTGAACTACATAGGAAAACCTTGTCTCAAAAAAATCAATAAATAGGGCTAGGGATTAGCTCAGCAGCTTAAGCGCTTGCCTGGTAAGCATGAGGTTATGAGCTTGATCCCTTGTACAAAAAAATCAATAAATAAGTAAATAAATAGATAACTAGAGTGAGTATCAAAGGTAACTGTTCCTCAGGAAGAAATGCAGTCCTGTTACCACCTTGATTTCAGCCCAGACTGAAACCCAGATTTCAGCCCAAACTGAGAACCTAGATGAGTGATGCCATTCCAAGACTTCTGAACTATAGAAATTGTGAAATAATAAATTTGTGTTAGCTTAAATTCTAAATTTATGTTTGTTTGCTATGGCAGCAAAAAAAAAAAAAAAAAAAAAAAAAAAAAAAAAAAACTAATACTGTAGGGATGAGTTCAGAAAAAATATCATGAATTTGGTTAGCCTGATTTCTTTTTCATTGCAATGATGAGAATAGTGCTCTTTCTGGTTTTCTGTATTCCATGGTAAAAACCAGAAGTCTTTGTTCCAGGTCTTCCTTATTTTCTGAGATAAGGTTTCACTGTCATGCTTAGGCTGGTCTCAAAGCCCTGGGCAAGTGGTCTGTCTGCATTTGTGTACTATTTAGTGAGATTCAAGATTAGTAAGATTTAGTGAGATTCAATATTAGTAAGATTGTATGATCTTAAGCATATTTATAATTGGAAATAATTTTAATGCATATATGTTGCAGAGCTTATAAATAATTGTCTATGTGGTTAAGACGTGTCATATGGTTCCAGCACTATTGTAAGACTGACATTATTTGGTGCAGTTTTCAGTCAAGTTCTGCTCATATATCATACAGAAATATATTCAGTAATGTCCTGGTTAGGAATACAGTGGCTCTTGCATTTGTTAGGAATATGACTGTGCATATGAGTTAGTTACATAACATTATCTAACAGACTCATCCACTTGATCTTCCTAGAATTTTTGGATTATATGAATACTGAAGTTTCTGCTTAATGAGAGTACCATGTATAATTTATAGTTTTAGAAGTGTTTTGTATATATTATATGGTTTTTTATCAGTAGAGTATGTGAAAACTATTTGCCAGTGAAAAACCATTATCAGTAAACTGTTTTGGATTGAAACCAGGCTAACCAAATTCATATCTTTTCTGAACTGTTTTGGATTTTTATTTTAAAGGGGGTAAAATTAAACACAACAAAACAGAACAAAAAAGGCATAAAAAAGCAATGTAAGAGATATAAATTTCAAAGCTAGACAACCTGAGATCTTCACTATCTATCATATTGTCTCTTGTTTTCTTCCAAATAGTTATCCAGGTCTTCGCATACAGAGAATTCATACAAAACAACATAGTATAAAACTGATATTAACAGAGGAAGGCATTTTAGGTCTTCAAAATCAGACAATAGGGAAGTCACTAATGGCTGTCGTAGAGTCTCTCCTCTTTAAAATAACTGTCCATACTCTCATGTATATTGAAGTTCAACAAAACAAAACAGGCTCAAATAGCACCATTAATTAGAACAAAGCAAAACAGGGATAAAAGTATTTGCCTTCAAAGAGATGGTAAAAGGAAATCCCTCCTATTTGCTACATTGCCTATGGTCAGCCTCTCAAAGGATGTCCAGATCACTGGCTCCCACTTGCTAAGGAGGGTGGTGGGAGATGTGATGTTTGATTCTCAATCCAGCTGGCTCACAGCCACTCACGGGGGTGGGGGTGGGAGGGTTGCTTCTGGTAAGTGTTTATCTTTTAGCAAGAGAAACTTTCTTTTTTGT